GTAAAAATAAATAAAAAATAAAGTCTTTCTCTGCAATAATTATAGTTATCATTCTTTGACAAAATTGTGAAAACCCCTATGAAATTAACCACATTGGAATGAAAATGGGGATCAGTGAAATGGAACAATCATTTCTCCGATCAGTACTGTAGGTGTTAACTCTATATCGTAAAATGTCGTGTTCTAAAAATTGAGTTGTCAGAGGGGAGCAGTAATCAAGCCCAGAGGCCAATAGTTTGTTCATTCATGTTATTAAATTCCTGAAGGAATCTTCACACATAATTACATCTACGTGCACCTGGTGTGGTGCTACAGCCTGTACTCATACACTGCATTTCTTGGCTCCCTGTGGGCACATCATCAAATAAAGCTCTGACAGACAGCTTTATTCTGATAAATGAGAAAGTAATCATCCTCCAAAGCGGCCTGCTTTTTTACAGGTACAAACATTTAGCATTTTTACTCAAGCTAATAAACATGTTTTCAATTTGAGGTGTTATTTAGGCCAATTAATGAGATGCTTGCTTCAGTTATGTAAGTTCTGCAAGTATCTGCAGTGATCACTGATCAGAGCGCATTTTATTTAATCCGAAAGCAAAAAGTGAAAATAAAAAACACAGAAAGGACCAAAATCGATGGTATTTCTGAAAGATAATTAACTTCATTGTTCAATAGTGCAGTTTAACGTCCATGGTTAAATAAACAAATCCACACTAAAGTGAACAGACTGAAGACTCCTGCTGCTTCTGTTGTGCCCATTTCTCTTTCACACAACAGACACTTTCTCTTCTGTGACATCGACTAATAATTTGGAAAACAGAAGACAATTTATTTAACAGCAGGCTGCAAAGCAGTTCTTTGGAAATATTCCTTTTATTATTTTTTTAACAACAAGTATTTAGAAATATAATAAAAGTCAATTTATGAGAAGTTCAGTGAAGCACACACACACAATCTAATTGATCAGGACTACAAAGCGCAAGATTTTATTATACATCAGCCTTCCCTAGGTGAGCTTGAGCCCACTCAAATTGATAAAATAAAGATTTCTCATATTTGACACAACCAGAAGTAAGTTTATTTATTTAGGAAACTTTTCAATTTGAACAAAAACGCCAGAAAAACTGTAGTTAGCATATAAGCTAACTATACATGTACAAAACAGGTTTAATCACCAAACAACGGATTGCTTCATTAGTTTGTTTATAATAATGTTACTAAAGCAACAGTTGAATGTTGAGGTCATCCACTGGGAACAACAGTTCAATTGGGAACACTCCTCACATTCCTCAGTAGAACAAACCAGTGTTTGCATGTTACTTTCTTCCTCGAGGTGAGATTTGACTCTCAGCTGCATAAGAAGTCAAATGTTATGAAAGACTTTTCCTCCCATGATTTACCTTGCGGTTTAAAAAAGAAAGGAAAATTCTACATAATCATGCCCTCTGGGTAGCAGTATATTTTTCTTAAGACGTATGAGAAAAACTTCCTCATCCTTGAATACCAAGAGGTTTGGGCTGGAGATCATATTCTGTATGTGTGATGTATGTTCTCTTTAAGTAAATCAAGTGCTGGTTTCAGTTTACTGCCAGTTGTTTAAAGACATTCTCTTTAGTGTAGATTTGCACCACAGCTGGATCTTACATATTAATAAATTCATTGTTATTCAGATGCTACGCTTTAATATGTTCACTTGGCTCTCTGCTAATATCCTGCAGTTTGGCGCTGGGCAGACAGTCTACATTTTTAGAGCTTCTTCCCTAAATTTGTTATTTTTACACTGCTGCGGAGGCAGTAAACCAAAACAATAAAGCTAACTAAAATACTAAGGTCTGATGTCGCTGCAGCTGCTCTGAATTATTTCGCTTGTAGTTAGATTTCATGGACAGTGCCATTTTGTGAAGATATTTGTCCTTGTTCTAGATTAATAACACATTGCTCAGTTTTAATATTTTAATAGGGAAATGACTGCTTATAGGCCATGAATCTCTCTGTCCCCTAACTGGCCAGATGTTGTTTAAAGGAGCTTAAATGTACACTCAAAGATAGAAAAAGGGTAAATAAAAAGTATTTAAATGCTTTGGGTTGTTGCTTTTTGTTCTTTGTATTTTAACTTCTGATTTCCGCAGTGCAAATAAATTGCAGGTACTGGTTGTCTGCAGCATGGTAATGTTCCCCTTGTCTTTCAAGTTGAAACACAAACCTTTGTTGTAAAGGCCTGACTGACTTTGTTCCCCAGTGTTATGTATGTATTTACCATCCATAATGTACAGTTGCATGTTATGGAACAAGATTAAAGTTCACAGTTCACATTAGCAAAAAAGTGCGCGACAAAAGGTCAGACACACAGAAAATGTTGGCTGTTAGTACTCAGTGGTCTTTAAAACAACTGGAGAATCACAATCGATTTTTTTTATTTTTATATAGAAATTAAAGTTAAGTTGCGGCGTTGAGGTGTTGGCTGCACCATGTCTCTACAGAAAAGCTTCATTGGACCTTAGCAAAAATCCACTGAACAAAACATATTCCTGCACTTGGTGTTTTAATATTGGTGATGACGAGGGCGATTAAAATCTCCCACAGCTGTCCTTTTAGCTTAGGATCTGGTGACTGCAAAAGCCAAAGGTTATTTCATATGAATTTTTATATGCATACATATATATAGTTAGGTAACTGCTTTTAATTGCATGCCACATGTATTATTATATTATTATCATTTAATTTTATGTCTTGTACATTTTTTTTATTATTTTATTTATGATTAACAACAAAACTAAACTGGCACATAGCAATAACATTAGATTCACAATTTTATCTTCTGCTTTTAATTCATTTTTCACAGGATGAATTCAATCAATGTTTAGATATTTTAAAGGGGTCAAACAAAAAACATACAAATACTTGATGAAAGTTTAAAACTCTGAGTTAAATTTCAGGTGTCACATAAGAACTTTGTAAGCGCTGAGCTTTGTACCGGTTTACAGAGATGACTTACAATCTTTAGAACCCCAATACCTTATAAGTATCATTTGGAATACAGTGTGACTCATAAACATGCCAGGAGGCCTTTATGTCAGGCATGATTCAGTAGACCACTTCATCATAAATCAAGGAATTGATTCCAAATGTTTCACACTTTGGCTTCAACCTCTTTTATGCTGGCTTCATCTTAGAGTGATTTTTCAGATCTAGAAACATCAGGTTGAGGTTTAAGTGGAACGCAAAAAACTTTAAAAAATAAAGAAATAAAAGAAATAAAGAAATAAAGCCCCCTCAGTGTGAAGTATCAAGAAAGAATGTAGTTTTAAACTTGCTCTGGAAAGTAGAGAAGCATTTCGTCATTTTTTAAAATATTATACGTGCTTTTTTTAATTACACAAATACATTCAGATACTTCCTTTGTTACACGTTGCTAGGACTGGGTTGAACACCCTTTTTGCCTTCAGAACTGCTTTCATTCTTCATGGCATAGATTCAACAAGGTGCTGGAAACATTCCTCAGAGATTTTGGCCCATGTTAAAATGATAGCATCACACAGTGGATGCAGATCTGTTGGCTGTACATCCATGATGCCAGTCCCTCATTCCAACATATCCCATAGATGCTCTGTTGGACTGAGCCATGTGTGAGACTGTGGGGGTCATTTGAGTACAGTGAAAGGGATGAACATGGTCAACAACAAGCTCACTAGGCTTGGCATTTAAACAATGCTCAGTTGGTACTAAGGAGTTCAAAGTATGCCAAAAAAAGATCCATGCTTTCATGTTGTTTACACCAAATTCTGACCCTACCATCTGAATGTTGCACCTTTAAGTGAGACTCATCAGGCCAGGCAATGTTTGTCCAAGGTTTTTCAGTCCAATTTCAATGATCCCATTTGAATTGTGGCTCCGTTTCCCAATCTTAGCTGACAAAAATGGCACCTGGTGCCATTCTGCTGCTGTAGCAGTGTTGTATTGTGTTGTGCTCTTCTGCATACCTTGTAACAAGTGTTGATTTGAGTTACTGTTGCCTTTTTTACAGCTTAACACAGTCTGGTTATTCTCCTTTGACCTCTGGCATTAATAATTCATTTTTCAGCAGCAGTTGAAATACTCTGATATACCGATGTTGGCATCCAAATGGTGCCTGCTCATAACATTATTACTATTATAATAATAATAATAAATATGCTGTCGTCTCATGAACAATGAAATAACAGCATTTTAAAAAGCTGGTTATTATTTAATCAAAGCATAAAAGACTTTAATGCATATTCACATCACAATACATTACATTTTGTTTACAAACAACTGTAAAATGACAACAAATATCATGTTCGATGTGGAAGGTGGGCTCCATTAGACTCAGTTAGTGTGCATTTGAGCAACATAATATCATAATTATCATATCATATTTGATAAGATGCCGTACTTTTCTACATGTAACTGAATCAGAATAGGTGAAGCAATATTGACGTGCGTTTTGTGAAGCATTTCTTTTTTCTTTTCTTTCCTTAATGAGCTTCTGTATGTTGTTTACATGATCAAAATAAATTGAACATAAACAAACAATAAATGTAATTAAACATCCTGATGATTTTATCATATCTGGATAATCTGTTGTGAAAGGAGCAATCTTTATTATCAGTGATTAGGACCGGTAAGTTCACTCTACGACACACCGGGCTCATTTATTTAATGAGCCAGAACACAAACAGCAAACTGTAAACCACACAGGGGCCCTGGACCTGCTGTTAAATAGTCAGGATGTCTGCTCGGAAATATTTCCCATGGTATACTGTGGGAATAAGACCTTGCTCACTGTAGGTTTACACTGAGGCTCCAGGGTAGGCTTATTTAGGGTGGACTTAGAGTGACATTCCAAGACGATAGGTGGTATTAGTGTTTCAGAGGGTCCATATGACCTCAGTCTGTCTACAAGGGAAAGGTGTTGTGTGATAGAAATTTCACACAAAATAATGCCTTAATGGATAAAATGTAAAACAAAAATGTAAAAACAACAACAACAGCAAAAAGTGACCATGGTCGCGATTTTTAAAAATATGTTATCACAAGGCAAATTATCTCACAATCTCAGGATAGCCAACATGTTTTCTTATAATGAAAAGACATTTTCCTCCTGTTCTTGAGAAAAGAAAGACTCAAATTAATTAGAAAATTATCTCGTGATCACATGGAGAAATATTTTCTTTTGCATAGATTACAAGGACATTATCCTATTATCTGGATAACTTTGTTATTTCAAGATATCAAGATTGAAAGAAAGCTTATATCAGCTTCTCACAGTATCTGCTGAAAAACTTTGTAACTCCTGGTATTCGCTTTATTTATTGCTCATCTTTTTTTTAGCACAAGGGAAAAAAGCAGGTAATGAAACTTGTATAATTAATAATATCAAGTTTTAGATTTTAAATGTATTAAATACTGTACAATGGTGGACTGGCTTAGAGAGATAAAATATTTGTATACATGTGGCGGCAGTTCCCATCTCACAATCTGAACATGAGTTGGGCTACAGCGTAGATATCATAAATTCAACTCAGCACATGTGATCGCTACGAGTGAGTAATTTTTGGTGAAAAGAGTTAAAGCACTGTGATTGACCTTGTGCAGACAATAAACAGACAATAAACCCTGAGGCTACTCAGCTGTGCTGTTCTCAGTACTTCCCCACATCAAACCACTTTTCTAGACCAGAGAAGCTCCATTTCTGATGAAAGAATTTCACTTCACCGGGTCTGGGTACTTATTGTACATTTACGCAGTCTGAGGCAGTTGTATGTGTGTAATGAAGTATTTGTATGGTGTGAGGACCAAATACACAGAAAGAGAATTTAAAGAAAAAGCAGGATTTACATAATGGTGAAAAAGAAGTGCGAAATTTTGTCACACCATATAAAAAGGTTCACTTATATAACTGAAAGGATTTACATGTAAATGACTCTGTTTACTGCTCCTCATATCTCCTGAAATCTTGTCCAAAGATTAAGAGTCACACCTGTTTTAATAAAAAGCGTACAACAAGTAAATAGCATGAAAATAGTCACTATTACTGGCTAACAGATTATATAAAGTTACCAGTCTTACAGGAAGAAAAGTTATTTCATCTCTATAATAAACCACTGCTACTGCCAGTGTTAATGATGTTTTGTCATACTGTTTTTTATTGACCTGCTATGTTTAACGGTTGATTAAGGAATGGGAATACGAGCTTTTAAATGTAAATACAATTCACACACACTCACACACTGTACATACAACACAAAGTGAGGAGATTTTTGAAAGTCTATGTGTAATTTGGAAAATGTATGCATAGTTTTGACTCTGTGCATCCAATATGTTACATATCAACACTGGATTCTTTAACAAAACTAAACTATAAAACTATAGACACGGTCTTGTTCTCCTCACATTAAAAAGTAGCTCTTTAAGTGTAACAATACTACTTTTTTCCCCACAATCAATATTATCACATTGCTTAATGTTCACGGCCTCTCATCCTTTTTCTTATCTTTCTTGCACAGAGATGCCAATTGTGACAAGTTTAATTTAGGAGCTGCATTCCTGAACCTGTGACTACACATGAAATATGTGAAAAACACTGTAATGCTAGTTTAAGCTCGAGGGCCTAATATAAGTCAATTATTAGAGCTTCCTCATTTTAAACTCCATAAATTAAGCAACAGACACTAACATTTACTCCTGTAATTTTCCTGTTTGATTTTCTAGAGCAGTCTGCGTAATCTGACTTGGCTTTAGTTTATACTAACCGCAGTTTTTCTGCTGTGAGAATATTTTTGTTACTTTTACTCTAAATTCTGAAAGGTGCAAACATTTTAGAGAATAAATAAGCAAAGTTTGCTTGCTCAGAATCTGTTAGAGGACACTGAATAAATGTATTTATTGCTCAGCTGAAGGGTAATGATATAATAAGATGCATCGCATAGTTGTTTTTTACATGAATCCTAGCTATACACCATAAAGCAGTTCACTGGCTCTGAAGTTGCTATTAATCTGAGTTTGCTGTGGAACTGAGATGAAAGCTTGATGAACATCAATAATGGTTTTAACAAATAATATAATTAAATGCCCTCCATACAGGCTACATAATATTATAAACCAAAACTCAGTAATATGCCTCATAACACAAGTGGTATTCTCCATGCAAAACATCAAAATATCATGGCTTCACCCTGCTTTACATAGCTCCTCCTGGCGCTTTTCCCTCTACAGCATTTTTGCAAAAATGCCTCCGTCTTCCTATATACATTGATATGATCTCATTATTTTTAAAGACTGAGTCAAAGGCAGTTCATAAAACTACATATGAACGCAAAGGGTGGGTCTAAACGAGCTTTGCATAACAAAAGGTCACCAGCTAGTATGCTGTGGTTAAAGTTCTCCTCATGAGGCTCTCAGATGGGATCGAAAGGGGATAGGCTCCGCGGTCTGTATCACATTTGCTGAAGTTTCTGAGTTCTTGAAACCAACTTGCTCCAAGAGTTATGATGCTGAGGAATGTCGGCAGTGTTAAACTCCAAAGTTCTTTCCCTGTGCGTACCTGGGAAGGCAAAGTGCCAAACGGAAAGAAATGAAGGGTCCATTCACCCAAGAAGAAGAGAACAAGATGGAGGTGCATCAAACTGTCATCCAAGTCCAGGAATTTTATGACGACTTCGGGTTGGGAGGATCTGTATGGAGCTTTGAAGAGAACATATCAGACTAAATTAGTAATACTGAAGAAGCAAATATTGCAATTCAGTGCTGCAGATCCATAAAGTTAGGAGACTCAAAAGAGACTGTGTCATTGTGGCTTCACTTCATGGTCCCCAGTGTGGGATTATACAGTAATACAAATTGCCCTTATTTAGACAAATGTGCTGTATCCAGAAGCACACAGTACAGTAAAATCAGATACTTGACAGATTTATTCACCAACCTCTTTCTTCCCATTTTAAACAAATGCCCAATTTACTAAAAATATACTACAAGTTTCTGCTTAAAATAAGTAGGAAGAGTCAAACACTTGTGTATATGTTTTGTGTCTATTTTATAAATTAGCACACTGTCCATTGATCACAGCATATTTAAACACCAGGAATCTATTCAAGCTACAGTTTGTTAGAGAAAAGTGCTTGCTCTGGATTTGTGGTGGCCCACTACAATCCTAATTTAGATTTGTAAATGTCACAGCATTTTCCTTTCAGTATGAGAACCTCCCTCATGCTTGAAAGTTAACTTTTGACTGTCCAGGCTTGTCAAACTGAAGGAAATTTCAGCTCCCTAACAATTACGGGTAGTTCCAAGAAGCAGCTGATAGCACTTGTTTGTGCAGCCTACGAAACTTATGAACAGCTATTACCCTGCACTTATGTGGCGATTTAAAGTGCTGCATGCTGCTGAAGTTCAGGCTTTTCGCCCAGTGATTTATCATAGGATGTTTTCCGCACAGCTATTGAACAAACTGCTATTCATCAGAGCTGACTTGAAATTGTGTTAGCTGGTCTTGAATCATCAGCAGGAGAAAATCGATTTCTATCACTACGTAAAAAACAAACGTAAGGTAAGCCCAAAATAAATTAAATGTCAATGACGAACCACTGCAAGAAAAAGTTACCTATTCTGTCTGATAACAGGCTAGACGATGTGCCTATCAGTTATATTTATAAGAAAAGAAGTACCAGTCACACCACTGCTCTAGAGGAACCATCCATCGATTTTCTTCCATCTAATTCAGGGTTGAGAGGGGGGCTGGAGCCTGGAGGGGGCTGGAGGTGTCATAGCGTGAGAGGCGGGGTACACCTGGACACGTCGCCAATCTCTAACACAGAGAGACTGACAACTACTCACATTCACATCTAGGATCAATTTCGAATTCCCAGTTAACCTAACTCCAATAATTGCACGTCGGAGAACCCATAGATATCCCACACAGACATGGGGAGAACATGCAAACTCCACACAGAAAGGCCCCAGTCAGAGGGTGGAGTTAAGCCCAGGGCCTTTTTGCTGTGAGGCAGCTGTGCTAACCACCTTGCCAACATGCTAGAAGATGTCCACCTAGAAGAACCTAACTCAATACTGGTTTTCTTGTTAGGTAGTGCAAGCCATTGCTGAAAACATATTTTACACGAAGCGAAAAGTCTGGGTGTTTTTCTCAAACTGTGTCCATGTGAGAATAGCACAGCTGTCCAAAGCAACTGTGCGGACATATTTTTTGTCCTGTGGGCTCTAAAGGCAGCACCGTACAGATAAACCAGAGTAATTCAAGTGCAGGATCTGGCTTGTCAGAAAGTAGAACTGCTGACAATGTCAACATTTCTGTCTAGGCATTTTCTGAAGTTCATGTTAAATTTATTATAAGCCTCTTGTCAGCACAAGGTTTACTTCTGTCACTCTTTAGGCTCATTTATGGATGCAATCAAAATTCACAAAAGTAGAGAGAGAAAAAGGATTGTCTCAATATCATTTTTACAGAAATAATCAGACTGACCTTGACAGACAAAAATCACGACACTCCGGGTCTGCATCGGTCACAACACAACGGCAGCGCGGTGTCTCTGCCCCCTCGTGTTGGGACGGCTGAACACCACGTCGTTTTCGCTGACGTCCTCTGTAGTTCGACATTCCGTACGGCACAGTGCGCCTTAGAAGGACAGAGAGAGGCCTTTTTTCAGCATTTAGCAACAGATGAGCAAAACAAAGCAAAAATAATAAATGGAGCAGATACATCAGGACCTTCACACTGTCAGTGCTCAAACCCTACGCAGAAAAAAATTTGTTTTAAGTTTTAATTATTCATTTTAAAGCAATTTTTAAACAACTACATTTTTATGTTCTCCAGTGAACCAGGGAACATTTGTTCTTTTGACAATGGAAAATGCAGCCAGAAAGGTCAGTGAAACTGAATAAAAAACAAACCTGACATATGACTTCGATATATCACATTTATAATGTCAGCATCCATCACCATATTGTCTATTCTGGCCCTAATCCTCGCATCTGGATAACATTTAGATTCCAAGTGCCAGGTAGGCATCACTTCTTTTCTTTCTCTTTCCACTCATCTCTTTTCAACCATGTGTGATTGATTCTGTGAAAAATAAGGATCTATATAGAGGCCTTTATATCTTTAGGACCTACGAGGTTCTGGGGAAGGGGGGGGGGGGGGGTCTGCTGACAATGTCAACATTTTATTGTCTGGGCATTTCTGTATGACAAATAAAAGATTCATTGAATTGACAGATAAAAGCCTTTCTTTTGTAGATTTGACAGATTATGTCAGACTGCCTGCTGCTTATAACTGACTGAGTACCTACAGTGTTACTGGCATCTTGCTGGGCTGCCTTTACTGTGTCTTTTTCCACTGGAACTTCAGCCTGTGTAATTAACTTCAGGGTGAAATGCATTTGAACCTAATACCTGTTCAATCTAAAGTCGGGGCTGTGAGTCAGAGATCACGCTCAATGTAGCGAAATGCTGTTGTCAGCTGGGGCAGTTATTCCAAAGTGAAAGAAGGGATTTGAGGAAAGCTTTACTTTAAACACTCTTACAATGTGTAGGATCTTTTTGATCAAACTTGTACACACAAATACTTCAAAGTTAGTCTTGTAAGCAAGAACAAAAGGATGGAACATTTGGGATTTCTCCTCTAACTAAGGGTTTGCTATGTTTTTGTTTCAAAAGCATCGAATCCTTTTGGGAATCTTCTGTTTCAGTGCAGTGCTCCAACCATGTAAGAACAAGTTTTCAACACGCACATAATGCACCTAATACTTGCTGCAATAGAGTTACTGGTATTATTTTCACCTTTGTGTGTGTGCGTGTGTAAGGACACACCCACTATAGGAGAAACTGACATAACAAAAAGGTTTTAGAACTTTGGCAGGTGTTTGGGCATCTGCCTTTACCTTACTTTACAGATCTTTAGCTGAACTCAAACTGCAAGTGGCAGCCACAAGTTAGATGATGAGTCCTATAGCTGGAAATAAAAAGCCAGCTAACTAACTGAGAAGAATATTTATCTGTAAGACTTCAGCCAAAGAGGATTTGTGACTAGATTGGTTTGACTGTTTGTCCGTTCCTGAGCAGGATTATTTAAAAGTTATAAAAAGTTATGAAAATCTTACTAAATGTGGTGCTTGGCCTAACTTAAAAGGAAATCTGAATTTGATGTGCAGAATTTGATACTGTTGCGAGATCAGACACTTTACACCAGTGGTTCCCAAACTTTTTTTGTAGTTGTTTTTTTGTCCTGTGTAATAATATTCAACATTGCTATCAATACATTTTTCAAAAAATGCCTCTCTGTGCAAAATGGGTTTAAAAACATGAACAACTGTGGGATACTGTTTGTCCATGATTTGAACCGAAGGAACAAATCGTGGCAGGTACGGCCTGATATTATTTGTATCCCACTGTAACTTTACTGTATAAAGAGCTAATATCGCCAAAATGTCAGGAGTAGGTATTTATTACAACAAGTGTTTGTGAACTAAAAATCAAGAATGTGGGATCCTGTTTGTCCGTGATTTGAAGAGCCCAGCGCATGCTCTCGAGGCAGGGAAAACCAATTCTGCAGGGGAGACCTACCTTGGCACTTGTGCAGGTGAAACCAAAGAGAAGATATGCTTCACCATATTTTCTAGTCTTTGGCTTAGAATGAAGTTGGTTTGGAAACATATTCAGCGATGCTTCATCTCCTGCTTTGCGTTTGTGTGGGCGCCCCGTGCTAGCAGTGTCCAAGCGTTGTTTTGTTGTTTCCCTTTTCATGCCGCGCTCCCCCTGCAATGGCTCTGCGCCCCCTCTAGGGGGCGGGCCCCACACTTAGGGAAGGTCTGCTTTACACCATTGTCTTCACGTCAGATTTTTTCAACAAAAAAAAAATAATCTGAAACTAAACCAAATCCTTGGTAGACGTATAGCATCTTAGACTGCCCCTTTTTGTATTTGTAGTTGAGATGTTTGCTGCTGACAGCAAACATCAACTCGACTCCTTTTTTTCTCCTGCCATAACTTTGACAACTTGTCTAAGAAACACCTCTTATCAAGTGTTTTTCACCAGTTAATAGCAATAGTAAAGGCTATAGCTATATAAAGCTAAATACATAACTTAATTAACATAGAATCAAATAATCATTAAAGATGTAACAATACTTACTTAATTGTTCCCACATAATCTGTTACTACCCAATCCTAAATATATCTGTCAAACCATTTCAGCCAGCGCAATGAAGAAATCTGTCATTGCATTTTATCAATAGACAGACTTAGGCTATGACTCATGGCGTGCCCGGAAAACACAATAAATGCACTAACTTTGGTAAATCCTCCACCTGCCTGATTCCAAACTCTTGCAGGAACACTGGCAATCTGTTGGGCCTGCCATCACTTGAATCTGGTGCCTCGGGGTGGGTAACTGGGTGTAACTGCAATGTGTGGTGCCTCTAGTGCACGGCTCCTATTTCAGTTGCAAAAAAAGCCACGTGCCAATCTTCGTCTGAAAGACTCTAAATTGCTACTTCTTATAACTCCTGACAAACGAGGAGACGTTGTGCAACCTCTGGGATTCTTGCACAAAAGCGGATTGAACTTAATAAAGCGTGCCTTACTCGGGGGTGTTGATCCAGATGATATCCAAGTGGCAGTAGTAGACGCACTCTTTATCCTTGTAGGAATAGCAGGTGCAGCGCTTTTGTCTGGACTTTGCTTCTGTTGTCTCAGACAGCTGTGAGTCAGCGGAACCCCGGGAGCCAGACACCTTTGAGTCCAATTGGACCATGGCGCGGGACGCCAAGATACCGTTATTAGAAGCAGCTATGTTTAAAAAAACAAAACAATAAAAAATAATAGTAAACAGCTAAATCAGAAGTTCTTCATAAATAAAAAAGGTACTGAGTGCATTCATAAACAACCTTAAAAAATAAATATATCTTATTGCCTACCTTGCAAGACAATAACTGCCAGTATCTTGAAAAGCACGACTCTTGCGAGGATGGACAGCATCTTTGCCATGTCTCAATATATTCCACAAAATAAAGCAAACGCCTGACGAGGAAGCAAATTAATCTCCAACCATCATCGATCCATTAACTTTGGCGCGTGTCCGTGTGCAGTTCATGTGGTCCGCAGATGAAAAAACAAGTGTCGGAGGACGTCGTCTTTCATTCTAATGACTTCATCCCGTAAATCCTGCACCTGCAATTTTTACACTGAGGTGAAGGGAACGTGTTTATTCTAATCCAAGCTTCAGACTGCCGCAGTCGCAAAACAAGTGCGGTCTTTGGAGCGAGGCGAGGAACAAACCCTTGAAGTCGCTTTGCCTTCTAAGACATGCGGGACTTCGGAGGGTACACGCCCACACCTCTCCTAGCACCCACCTTCTGTCAGATGCAGCAGCAGTGTATGTATTTACATATATGCCTATTCATACTTATTTATTTAATGCTTTTACTCGTTTTTACTGGACACCTTTATGAATAAATCAATGAATGAATATTAATACTCTTGAATAGTAATGCTCTTATAACCCATAAAAAGGTATTGCTCAGTGATGGATAAAAGAGACAAACGTGGTCTTGATAGTGAAATAAGTCCTTCAGCTGCACTAGTCAGTGCTGTCCTGTTGCCACTGACTGGCGCATATTATCCATAAGTTGAGGGTATGAACTCAACACACAGAGACCCCACCCCAACTAGGAGACTGAAGCCAGGAGCTTTCTTGGTGTGCTGCCCAGAACCACTTATCACTTTTTGCTATTTTCAAGTTTATAGTACAACTGATTTAAACAAACCCACTTCTAGGGCCATCTTGGTGTTGCTGCCACACAGGAAGTGTATTTCCCCCTTGATAGGCCTTTTAATTTTATGGGTAGAGCTTGTTATTAAGTCAGCTGTAAACACTTTTTTAATATATAAATATCATTAAAGTCAGTGTTTTAATTCATTCAAGCCTATTTATGATTTCATTTTAGTATATTTAACGTGTGTGTGGTTAGCATTGTCACCTCACAACTAGAAGATCATGGGCTCAAATCCACCTGCCACCCAAGGATTGAGTTCCTATGTTCTAAGTTGTTTCTGACTTTCTCCCACAGTCCAAAGACACACATGTTAAGTTGACTGACAATTCTAAATTGTCTGTAGATGTGAGCGTGAAGGATTGTCTGTCTTTCAGTGTTTACACTGCAATAGACTGGAGACCTGTGTAGGTTGCAATTTTTTTTTTACACAGCTTTCCTTCTGTGCATTTTTGCAAAAAATGAGTTACAAGTAAAAAGATTTGCCTTTGAATTTAGCAATTTCCTCTCAACTTCCAGACCAGATAAACGGTTTATGCTAGAGTTGCTGGTGTTTGGCGTGCAAATAAAGTAAACTTAGCAGTTTGCAAACGACCTGGGACACCATACAAAACTGGATCAGTTACGTGGCCACCACCTATCAAGAACACAAGCCAGAATGAAGAGACTTGGAAGAGACAGCCAAAGCAACAAAGGTGTTTTACACAGGAATGTTGTTGACTGATCCAATTAATCATCAGAACTTGTCTGGTGATGAATGTAAGACAAACATATCAAGCATTTAGTGACTGATTTACAACCAAATCGAAAATATCAGTCATATCTCAGTGAGAGCCAGTTCCAGCCCAGCTCTGAACAATGAGGGAGGAATAAGTTACATTTCTAAGTCATGAAGTAGTAATAGACACATGGAACTAACACTGAAAATTCAAGCGGCAGCATAAATCAAGAAAGCAGCCAGGGGTGGGGTGGGGGGGGGGGGGGGGGGGGGGGGGGGGGGGGGGGTGCCATTACTGATGTACATCACATACAGAAATAGTCAGTTAAGATGTTGGATGCTGAAAAATTGCAAACCCAACCAAATCAACCCCACAGACCACAAAGGGTTTGTGAATGAGGGTGCTCAAGTGAATAAAAACAAACATATCTCGCTGAGCCTCCAACTCCAATTTCCTTTCAGCTGGCTTTCCATCTTGAGGCAGCGATCATTCATGAGCAAACCTGCTAATATCTTCATAGTTTCTTAAACATTACGGTGTGTATCAATGTTGTTTTGTATTGTTCAGTTTCTTTCTATCATATAAACAATACACAGATGATTCATTTAGGAAAAAGAGAGAAAAAAAAAAGGAAATACAAAATAAAGCAAAACACACTCCAGGATCACTTCACCTGTTCTGAATCAGATTACATATCAAAAAGGAGCGCAAAGAAATGCTCATTTCTCAAATATGGAAGTGCTTTTTTCCTATTTGCAGAAATAGCTGTCTAAAAATAAACTATAAGATAAAGTGTAGATTATGATTAGGCTTGATTTAAAAGTTCTTCCTGGAATTGGTGTCATTAAACCTAGAAAATGCATCCACATTTATATGAACACTACTGAAAAACTTACTTAGATACATTGGTGTAATGATCCAAAGTATATAATGTTTACCTTCTAATTCTCTGGATAGTCTGCATTAAGTATTCTGGATTAGAACTTTCCTACTGAAGCATCCAAGCAAACTTAAATCTGTCTGACTCTTGAGTGCCCTCTGGTTCCTTCCCAAATTCCCCAAGGCTAAGGTTTTGTGCCATATCCCAGTTCTCTGGCACAATCCCCAAGCTGGGAAACAGAAAGAATTCCAGATTAATTAAGACCATATTCTGTTTTCTTTTTCCTGACCAGTGTTATGGAGACAGAAAGCTATCAGAAAACTGAACATGTGGTTTAGGAGTCACATAATGTACCCATGATTTCAAGGTATCATTTTGGGTTTTCTGTGAAGGATCTCTGCAATCTTGTGGATGAATCTGATGTTGCACTCTGGCTTCATGATGCTGATTATGTACCAAGAACTAGGCAGTCAAAACAGAATAAGCAAGTTACAAAATCTCCTTGGATACCTTGGTTTGGCATAGCTGATCATGGATATTAAACTGAAGCTGTGGAGTGTGAAACCTAATAGCAGGCCTTATTTAATTAAACTTTTCTAATTTTACTCATGAAACATAACAGTCTATTACCAATACCATTCTAAAAATCCACCCCGAACCTACCCCGTTTTCCCAATTGGAAATTTCTGTTATTTCCCAAATTGTTGTAGCAATTGTAAATAATACATCTATTTTCTCTTCGCTTTGACTCAAGAAATCATGCATATAGTTACATATTATAACACGTGTATTCTTATGTTCACTTTCAGCCTGCCAAAAGTGTTTATTATAGCTGTGCTTTTGGCAGAGGGAATCTCTTTGCAGCACATTCTAGCCTGACCTGGGAGACATGAGGGAGCATAATACATTAAAGAAGCATTCCAGCTAACACTTTGTCCTGTTTTTCTTGCCCTCTTATGTTTTATTAGAAAACATTTTGTGTGTGCTAAATCTGGGGATTTCCACGCTCATTATCCTGTGGAGCTCCTAAGGTAAGGAGTGGAAAAAACAATAAACAGGTGGTATTAAGATGGATAGGGATATGTAAGCCTATTGAAATGAATCTGATGAACTCATGTAAAATGAGCGGTGGTTAGCACTATCATCTCACAACAGGGAGGTTCTTTTATAGATTTAAGGGCCTTTCAAGGGTTTCTCCCAGTGCATGGATATCCCTGGAGCGCTCTGGTTTTGCACCCACAGCCCAAAGACATGCATGTTATGTTAACTGGTGAATCTTTAGCCATATGTGTGAGAAAACTGACAAGTAATTTGTGACAATCCTTAAAACTCCCTGAAAAGCCTTCAGCTGATCCAAAATGCTGCAGTGGGAATACTGACAGGAACTAGAAATAGAGAGAATATTTCTCCCATATTGGCTTCTCTTCATTGGCTCCCTGTTAAATTCAGAATCAAGTTTAAGAATCAAGTCTAAGAGGGGTCTTGAATCCCCAAAGACCTCATAGTACCACGTTACCCTAGAAGAGCACTTCAGGCTCAAACTGGTGGCTTACTTTGGGTTCCTAGATTCTTTAAAAGTAGAATGGGAGGTAGAGCCTTCATTGTTCTGTGGAACCATCTCTCAGTTTGAATTCGGGAGAAAGACGCCCTCTTTACTTTTAAGATTAGACCTAAAACCTTCCTTTTGGCGAACGCTTATAGTTAGACCTGGATAAGGTGACCCTGAATCCTCCCTTAGTTATGTTGCTATAACCCTAGGCTACGAGGGGCTTCCATTGATCTACTGTTTCTTGTTCACTCACCTTTTTCTCTCTATGTGCTTATCCTGCCCTCACGACACGTGACCATGTGAAGCTAGACAGCAAGCGAACAAAATAGAGATCTTCCACACAAGGCTTGCTTTTCTTGCTTTTAATGAAGATCCTTTAAAGCCTTATCTCTCTCAAGGCTTCTCCTTGCTATTTCTTATTTGTAATTGAAATATACAGAAAATGAAAATAAATTGCTAGCTAATACACATCTTAATGACAAACTTAGCCTAGCTTAACACGTGCGTTACATTAGCATCGCAGTTCACTCCAGGTAAACACATATAAAGGTTGTTTCTGAACATATTAATACTCCAAAGACGAACGTTTCCCAAGGTACAAGCGTGTAGGGCACTCTTAGCGTGTACATGAACTCGTTCACTCTTTTAATACTGCCGAAGCACTTTTCACAGCATTAACGGAGAAAACACGTCAAAGATGTGCGAATAATCAGAGCGCTCCCTCGCTCCCGTTTCCGCACGTACAATACAAAGATTGCTTGTGATAACGATGTCTCACTCTGAGCAAATTTCGAACCCAGACATTTTAACAGTTTTTAGCATGAGTTACTTATAATATTTCTTAACTTTGAACTTATTTATCACTTTGCTTATGTAACTTAATCAGACTATGCATTAACTATTGACTTCTGACCAAAAGGCATAACAGTGCTTATGTACTCTGCATTTAATTATTAGCTATTATTAATGTCTGGTTCACTTCCACGGGGTAATTTTTGTCCTGTGTCTCTCCCATCACCTCTGACCGGTCATGGTGACTTACTTAAGATGTTTCGTCTGGATGCAGACAAGGGTTTAAACCAATTTTTGTAAGACTCTGCAGAAATATGTATGGCTGTGCTGAACTTTCCATGAATGGAACATCCTTCCAAGGTGAGGATTATAACACTAAACACAGCAAGATAGCGCTCAAATGAGTAGCAGCTGATCCTGTCTACCCCAGAGATTTCCTGCTTTGCGGTATTGTTGTTGAAGAGCATATGGTTTACCATGACTGATGACTAGCACTTGCTGGAAATTGTATGACCTCCATGATGCTTCACATTAAGTTGGCGGTATTGTGGGTATGCAAAACCCACAGAGTGG